AAAGAGGCTTGACTTGGGGTGGTGAACATAATACAATATACAGATTATGTATTATAGAATTGTACACTAAACCTACATAATTTTATTAACCAACTAGAGGCCCAGTGCATGAATTTGTGCACCGGTGGGGTCCCTCAGCCTGGCTGGAGATGGAGGCCTATCAGGGGGCTGGCCATCTGGGGGGAGGGGCCGTGGGAGGTAGGCTGATGGGGGTGGGGGGAAGGGGTCACAGGAGGCTGAGGGGGAGAGGAGAAAGGGTCACAGGAGGGTGGCTGGCCAGGGGGAGGAGCCACAGGAGGATGACTGTGGAAATGCACTGACCACCGGGAATAGCTCATACAGTACTTTGAGGATTTGCCCTCTGATAGTCAGTGCACCTCATAGCAACTGGTCAACTGATTGTTCCAGTCATTCAGTCTTAAGGGTCACTTAGACTTTTATATATATATAGATGTCACCCCAATAAATTCAATAAAAGGGGCTAATTAAAATATATATATATTAATATGTTAAAAATACATAATCACAAAACAGCATAACAGATTTTTATAACATTTAACAGTGCAGTTATCAAACATGTTAAAGCGGGTCCCTATGAAGGAGACGGAAAGGGGTATGGAAATTAAAGGAGAAAATATAAAATAATTAAAACAAGAGAGAAGCCTTGAATAGACTGATAATGACAATTTCCCTTAAATGGAGGAATATGTTTCATTCGCCTCTCTGTATTAAATTCCATTTTTAAAAGTATGCATATATGTGTATGTGTATTATGTACAAACTAGAGGTCCATTGCAGGAAGATTCCTGCTACACGGCTTCCTGCTGTGGTCTTCACTGCCCCCCCTGCTTCCCTCCCTTCTCCACCACCCCACTTGCTTGCTTCTCCACAGCTTCACTCCCTTCTGCAGTGCTTGGCTTCTTTCTAGCTACCTTCAGTCTTCCCTCTGCATCTGGATACGCAAATTAACCACCATCTTGGTTGGGTTAATTTGCTAATTTGGTGGGCATGGCTTGTAGGCATAGTGAAATACGGTCAATTTGCATGTTTCTCTTTTATTAATAGATAGGATGTCTGAAAGGGTATATACTAAAATATTAATACAGGTTATCTCTGGGAGTGGTATGAAAGAGTTGTTTTTTTTCTACACTGAATAAATATTGTGTAATAAGTAAAACACACTTGTTATGTTTCAAAAAGTCTTCTTAATATTCGGAACAACTTTCCTGCTGTTGGATAAATGTACAATAACCCACTAAATTCTGCTGCCTGTGTGGCCACAATCCTTTCATTGTTTTTCCAGAATGTTCCAAAATAGCTCTGGAACAAGACCAGTGGGACCACCAGATAGCTATCTAGCCTCACCCTTGTTCCCATGCAAATGAAGACCAAGCCTCCAGTCCAGCTTTGGCAGAAGCCTCCATGGGACGCAGGATAACAAGGCCCTCTCCTTCTTGGCTGAAGGAAGGAAGGGCAGCACTCACAGGTCTCTCTCAGTCAGTTTGCAACTGCGTCTGAAAAGCTGCCTTGGGCAACAGTTGCCAAAGACAAAAGGTCCCACCTCAAGGGTGGAAACTCTATTTGCAGCTTTGTAGACACAGGTGTTCCTCCAGGAGACTCAAGACCTACAGTGCTGGACTGTGTTTGGCCAGGAATAGCTCAGAAAGCCTTCCCCTCAGAAGCCAGCTCCTGAGGCCTTCAGTGTCTGTTCTAACTATATTTGGCAATGAAAACCAAAGAAGTCAGTGGTTTAGCTTAAGGGGGGGGGGGGGGGGGGGGGGGCAGGGGAAGAAGACTAGTCCTGATTTATAATCCCTACTTCAAACCAAGACCAAGAATTTTAAAACTCACTTCATTTATTTATTTTGCCCTCACCAAGCATACCACTGAAGCCGTTCTTCCCAGTCCAACCAGCAGTGTGTAAATCCTTCAGAACCACAGGTGTAAATCACCTACCCAAGCCATCCCCGGATTAGAGGACATTTGGGGACAGTTGGCTTGAGAATCCAAATGTTAAAATTATCCCACTTTATTCTCTCTGTCTTCATAACATCAAAATAGCCTGTAGCCCTTGGGTGCAAATCCAAACTCCAGCACTTTACTACTCACTGTGTGACCTTGGCTAGTTACTCTATGTCTCTGAGGTTCGGTTTCTTTATCTAACAACCTGAGATAATAACACCTACTTCACTAGGCTGCTAGAAGAAGTAAATGAGATAAGGTGTATAAAGTGGCTAGGAGAATGTCTGATACAAAGTAGGTGCGAAAAAAAAGAAGAAAGAAAGAACCCGTTTCCATCTGCCCCCCAGACCCCCTCCCCGCCATCACTCCCTTCCACTTCCACCCTTAGCTGTGCAGCCAAGGTGTTAGATTTTTAAGAAATCTCCCAGCACCCTGTTTGATTACAAATGTATGGTACCATTCCCACAGCCAGCAACAGTAGCTACAGATAAAAGCTGTGTGTACTCCTTAGCTGCAGACAGGTCGAATCAGCCCACAAATGATTCATCACTGCTAATAAACGATGTGTTCTTGGCGTCAGAAGGCCTTATCCTGACAGGCTTCAACACCTTGTGGAAAAAAAAAAAAAAAAAAAAAAAAAAGCAGAAGGTATTATAGATTGCATGGCTCCCAGAGTAGGTCCCCAAGGTGGATGGTGATCTCAGTCAATCCTGAACTTGTACCTGCCTGGTCTTAAAGAGAGTCTGTCTCTTCAGACATGTCTCCAGTCACAGGATTTTCAGCTGGAAAAAAAAAAAAAGAAAAAAAAAACCTCCAGCTGAGCAGCTGCCTTATTCAGCTCAGAGGTAAACCATCCCCTTCACTTGCCTCGGATTCCCAGAAGAGAGTCATAAGACTCCCTGGGCAGAAGGCGAGATGCCTGTTCTCTGCTCAGGACAGCCCTAAGCTGTGCCCAACCTGCCTTTGGCAGTTTTTTCTGCCGGCTAAAGCTCTGCCAGGCTGCGGTCTGGCTGGAGGGCTCTGTGGTGATGGGACAATCCTTGGCTCAAGGAAAAGGGCGAGCATTTCATCCCAAGCCGCTGTCTGCGAGACTGAGGTGTCTGCCGCTCTCTGCAGTTTCTGTAGCCCCTTCAGACCACCCAGAACGCTCACTGGCACAGCAGCTCAGTGACTGTAAGTTTTAGCCACTCGTTCATTCATACGTGCCCTGTACCTTTTGCAATGCCTGGCACAGAGTTCCCTCCAAACGGATGTTTTATTGAAAGGCCCTTGGGAACAAGGATGGTCTGTGGCTCTATTTGCAGCCCCCTCAATTCTAATGAAATGCACAAAATTGACATCAAATAGGAAAATGAACCCCATGGAGATTGACACCGTAGACAGCCACGTGCCCAGTACTGAGGCCTTGTCTGGGCTGAAGGAAATTCCATGTGCTGGAATATTCCATATGCTGGAGTTTCTTCTAAGTTGAAATGCTTCAGAAGCAGGTTGCTTTGGATCTCAGACTTAAGACCTACCTTTCTTTCTTTCTTTTTTAAAAATTTATCTTTCTTGTTGAAAGTATTCTTTATGTCCCACTTTTTTCCCCCATTGACCTCCTCCACCCTGCACCTGCCTTCCCTCACGCTCTTACCACACTATTGTCTGTGTCCCTGGGTCAGCATATAAATTTATCTCTTGCAATGTATATATATGCAAGGCTTTTCTGAAAGGAACTATTCTAGGCCCTCAGAAGAGGCCTTGCGGTATGCAATTGATACAAAAGGCCCAGGAGAGAAGGTTGGATACTGGACACATTTCCATTCTCCAAACTCACCCTCCGACTTCCTTCGCCAGGAAGATTTCTGAGATCACCTATAAGCACCCACACTTCAGCCACGCCTCGAAGTAGAAAGGCCGGAGAAACTTTCTGGAAAGGACAAACAGTCGGTCTCTCCTTTCCCAGTAGTCTGGGTCTCCAGGATACTGCCGGGGACGAATGGGGCAGGAAAATCAAAATCAGGGGTGTCTCCTCTTTTCTTCCCCTTCTGCCCTAGTCCCATGTCCCCTTGCCCTGCTCAGTGGGGGCTTAGCGTCCTCCCCGGCTTCTATCACCGGAACTGGGGTCAACTTCTAAGATGATGAAGCCTACAGAAAGCAAAGAGGAAGGAAGGAGAGAAAGGAAGGCTGGAGAGAAGTGAGGGGGGGAAAAAATGCAAAAGGTTTGGGAAGGAGGAAGGAAGAGGAGAGCAGCCAGGGGCGGTGGAACAATGAAGGTCTGAGGCTGTCGGAGGCGCACGGTTCTTGCCGCACGTCCGTCCCCGCGCCTCGGCCCGCAGCTGCACAGCGCGCAGCGTGTGGCCGCTGAGTCACCGTCCCCGGACCGGGAGCCGCCGCGCAGGTCTGGGGGGCTGGCCCTGCTTGGCATCTGCGAACCTTTTTTTTTTTTTTTTTTTTTTTCCTCTTTCATGAAGGCTATGTGCTGACTCCCACGTAGGGGAACTTATTAAGCCGCACGTACTGCCTGACTGCTCTCGCGCTGGTCCGAGGCGGCCGGCTGGGGGCGCCATAGCCTCGCGTATGAGACCGCCGCACGCTGGGGGACCCGGCCGGGAGAGGACCGAGGTGTCTCGCCCCGCAGCCAGTTTCCCCGGAGGAGTCTGAACGTTTTTGCTGGTATGTCCACTCCCTTGAACACCGCGGCAGCCCTGGGGGACTCCCCTCCCTTAGCGGGCTCCGGGGACCACCCCAACCAGCCGAGGCGCGCCTTCGCGCAGGGCAGCGAGCCACTGCGTAAAACCTGGGGCGCGCAACCCGGAGAATCTAGGCAGCGCCTCGGCGTCCCCGCAAAGCCCGGGGCCGTTTGTGGGAGGCTCGGGGCGCCCCGCCAGGAAGAGCGGGGCCCCTGACAGCTCAGCCAGGGCCCACCCGCGCCGCTCTCCCACCTCCCCACGCCCGGCAGCGCGACCCCAAGGCTCCCAGGCAGCCCGGGGCCAGGGGCACCCTCCCTCCCTCCCCGCCACGACGCGTGACCCGAGAATGAATCAGCATCGAGGCAGTTTATTGGTTTGCTAGTTCGCAATATCACCCATTTAATGTAAATAGATTATACAGAGACGCGGTGGTTCCTTCTTCCACAAGAGGTACATCAGTCTCTTCCACACACACACAGACTCGCACTCGTCCCACGCAGCAAAAAACAACGTTACACCTCGCTGAGACATTCACGTATTAAAATAACTGAGGGGGGGGCATACAATTGCTTTTAAAATGCCCTTAATACAATATAATAATGTACAAAAATAGCTCTATGATTTGAAGTTACAAAAGAAATCTTGACAACAACACACTTAAATATCGATAGTTACCTCTGTGTAAAGACAACACGCATTGCACTTTTCCTCTCTAGGTTTTTGGAAGGTTCAAGTAATAGTGGGGAGCTTACGCGCCCCGGTGTGGGGCGACGACACCCCGTGAGAAGTCAGTTTTTTGGGGGGAGGAAGGCAAGGCAGTGGCTCAGACCCTTGCACCGGCGGGGGTCTCAGCATTTTAGTCTCAGTTTTTCTCCGTGAGCCAGCAGATACTCCGTGGGATTCCTCTGCCACCTCCCCGCCTCTCCCCGGGACACCCAGTCCAAACGCCGCCTCTGAGCAGGAGAGACCCCTGCAGAGCCCATGGCTCGCCGCGGGAAGGTGCCTCCGGGACTCCAGGTCTGTGCGGGGCTGGCTCCGCCGGGTCCCCAAGCGCTGAGAAGCTCGGCTCGGGAAGCCCTCCGCCTCGGGAGGTCCCCTCCGAATGCATAGGCGACTGGAAGCTGCCGCCGCAGCTAAATCCTAAAGAGGGCGGCGAGCACTTGATCGGAGCGGGAGGCTGGAGGGGACAGCAGAGTCCGGCCCGGGCCGGCCTGGGGCAGGGAGCGCCGGCGCCGGCGGCCGTAGCCCTGGGGGCTGATCTTGTTCCTGGGGGCGACGCCGTCCTTATCCTTGTCTGTCAGCTGGTAGATCTGGTGCGCCAGCTTCTGCACGCTGCACGTCCCGAAGCGGCAGCCGGAGCTCCGCAGACCTTGGTATCGGTTCATACTCTGGCGGTAGCGCCTGACGCGGATGCGGGCGGTGTCCGGGCCGCTGGAGAGGGAAAGGAAGGCACATGAGACCCTCCTCTTCTAGCAGGGCTCAGCCCTCCCCCTACCCCCCGCCACCAGGCACAGGAGCCTTCTAGGACCAGAGGGGACTGGACACTGACCACCCCAGATCCCGGGGCATCGAAGAAATCCCCTTGCCAACCCCCCTGCTGCTGCAGCGCCGAGCATGGTTACCTGGCCTGGGCGCCGCGGGAGGGCCCCTTCACGTCCTGCGGCTGCACGATGGTTTCGGCAAGCCCGGCCTTCAGGTCCGCGAGCCCCGTGGGAGAGCTGCTGGACACTCGAAGTTCCCTCTTCCCACGGCTCAGCGCCCATTTGTTCCATCTAGAAAACACAAATAGATAGGCTCGATTCGCTTGGGTCCGGAAGGCGAGGTCCCGGCCCATCGCCACCCGCGTTCCCTTGGAGCCCCTGGGGACCCTTGGCCACTTTGGCGAGGATTGGGGGAAAGCTCTGCCCGCGACTCACTTCTTTCGGAACTCCGCCGCCACGTCGAGCTGCGCGCTGTCGGCGCCCAGGAAGGCGAGCGAGCTCAGGTACAGGAGGGCGACGGGAACCAGCTTCATCCCGGCAGCGATGCGCAGACCCCTGGGGAGGGAGAGAGAGAGGAGTGTGAGCTCCGGGACCTGCCGCAGCGCCCTGGCTGGGGCCATCGAGGGCAGGCAGCCTCAGCCGCGCCGGCCCGGCTCCGACGCTTATCTCCCCGGGGCGCACAGAGGCGCCGGCGGCGGCGGCATTTGCACTCGCCGAGCTGGTGACACAGGCCCCGCAGGGGAGGCCCCTTCCCAGGGCCAGGTTCCTGCTCAACTCTTGGGAGTTTTGGCTGACAGGCAGAGGGGTCTGGAGTCCCAGGGGTGTGCACGAGCCGGGCCCAGAAAGTGGGGCGCACCCTCGCCATAGGACTGCTCCACCCAGGGCTCCCGGGCTCCCGCCTGGGTAAGGGCTCCTTCTTCGCACGCCCCGCCTGCCGCTCCTACCTGAAGAGCGCGTGATCTGCCAAGATCTGGGAGGAGAAAGTTCGAGACTGGCGCTCCGGCTGTGGCAAAAACCCCCAACGTCCAAGCTGCAGCGAAGAAACCAGAGGTGGTGAGGCTCCAACTGTTGCGTCTAGTGTCACCAAGAAACCTCTGAGTGGCCAGCGCCGGCTCCCCGGCTTTATAGGCGCGCAGGGGGCGGGGCCTGGGCTGCCCTCCGCCCGCCCTCCCTCTCTTCCTCCCAGCGTGCGCGCTCCTTCATCCGCGCGCTCATCGCTTGCCTGTGGGTGTGGGGTATGGAGTTTAGGGGGTAAGGGGTAGGGGTATCCTTATGCCCAGAGGGCTTAAGGGATGAGCCTCAGGAGATGGGTGCAGGCCATTTCCACAGTCCCAACTCTGGGCACAGGATTCATACTGTAAGCCCAGGCAAAGCAGGGCCGGTGCAACCTCTTGGGGTCTTCACCGAGTATGTCTGTAGCCTGCTGTGCCGGGAGGCCTTCCGGCGTGGAAGTGCTGGAGCTAGCAGGGATACCCCGCGGATGGGCCAAAGCCCGGCTCTCGGGAGCTGCTGTCTCCAGGGGACCGCGCCCTCTGCCGGCTCCGAGGCTGAGCTGGCCGCGACCCCAGACTCCATCAGAGCAGAAGGCACAGGCCACGAAGCATAGCCTAGAGGAGAGGGTCTCGCCAACACCCACCCCATCCCCCACCCTACCCCCAGAGCGGCGGAGACTCCGGGGTTCTGGAATGGGCTGGTAAGATTTCACAACAGGGCAAGGCTCAGGACGGCCAGTTGGAGAATTGGGGTGGGGAGGGTATTTTAGGTCTCAGCATTCCCGTGCCTGTTTGGAAATACGGGAATAACCAAAAAATAGGGGAAACGATACCATCCCGGGTTCCCTCCCCCCTTGTAATAGAATTATTCCTTATAAGGTTACAACCTGAGTTTGCCCGGCTGCCTCAAAACCTCCCTTCACTCACTCTGAAGGTGCGGATTCACTGCCAGGGGGCACGCCCGATGCTGCCTCGTCCAGCTCATGGCTCCAGCCCACAAAGCACAGCCTCGTCTGGATCCCCTTTGAGCCTCACACCTCACATCTCATCTCCGCTTGGATTAAGCAAGGAAGGTGGCATTCCTTTCCTCATTTCACTGCGTGGAAAACTGAAGTTCAGAGGGAGGATGTATGTGTCCAAAGTCACAGCAAAGGGAGCTCGGGAACCTGGGCGCGGCGTGGATTTTTCCAAGCTCGGGTCATCCTCTCCTCAAAGGGGAGCGGAGAGCAAGAGCCCCCGCCCAAGCACGTATGCATGTTCGTGATGATTCACCCCCAAGCACGTTTGTCACCCCTTTGTACTCTCCCATCACTGCTTCTTGACTCTACTTTCTTTTTTTTCTTTTTTTTTTTGATTATGGTATCACATAATTGTCTTCATCCCCCCGTTCCCACCCCAAACCCCTCCCCACCTATGCCCCCACCCCCCTGTTGTTCGTGACCCCTGGTTAGGTTTATATGCATGCACACAAGTCCTTTGGTTGATCTCTTCCCCTTCCCCCCACCCTCCCCTACCATTCCTCTGTGGTTTGAGAGTCTGATCCATGCTTCCCTGTCTCTGGGTCTGTTTTTGTTCATCAGTTTATGTTGCTCATTATTTCCCCTAGATGGGTGAGCTCGTGTGCTACAAGAAATACACTCGTATTGACTCTACTTTCTTACTTGTCTTTTGGGGACCACATTGGGGAGGGAACTCAGCCCCAAGAAAGGCTCCCTCCTTCTTGAATGCGAGCCTGTGTTGACCTATCAGGCCATCTCTGCCCCAGCCGCAATCACTGCCCCAGCCGCAGGTCCTGAAGCGCAGTGCCCAGCCTGGGAGGGAGGCCCAGGGCTCTGTGACAATTCGCGGTGTGAACGTGAGCAAGTCACGTTCCTCGCCCTGGTTTCCCCACCAGGACCCTGCCGCCAGCAGATCGCTCAGCTTCTTGCCCGCTCTGCCCGCTGGTTCTGCCTTACATGGACAGGCGCCTGGGCGCCGGGTCACGCGGACCTTGCCTGGACTGGGCCGCGCGCGCAGCTGGCTCAGATGCCCTTTTCATTTCCCAGAGCCGTGGACATTGCACCTGGGGAAGGTAAGGGCGTGCATGCCAAAGGCGTAATTTCATCTGAGGACTCTTCCTCGAGTCACCTGAGCGGACCACCTGAGTTTCAGCTGATGGTAGGGGCAGATTCCTGGCCCTGGAGGGTCAGAGCAGGGCAGCGCAGCGCACTGGCTGGGTCCGGGCCTCCTGGCTTGGCCTCAGGGCAGCCGCCGCCGCAGGCCAGGGCAGGCGGTTAGTCTGTCCACACCGGAGGCAGCAGGTAACACTGCAAGTCTGCTTTGTTTCCAGGAGCCTCCCATCCTGCAGGCTTTTTCTTGTTTGTCTCTCATTCCCCATCTCTTCCTTTCCCTGTAAGTCAAACTCATCGCACAGACCCTGGCCAGGCCTGGCTGTCTGTCATGTCTGGGGAGGCGACTCATTTGTCGCCAGCTTTCAGCTGGGTCCGTGCCAAAACAAGGTTTTACTTTCATTTCCCCGGCGCACGCCTCTGACTACTGGGGGGAGGTCAAGGACAGCTGGGCGCCGGCCTAGAGCCAGGGAAAGTCTGGATTCGTCCCTTCCAGTTCCCACCAGCCCTGGGAGGTTTGGTCTGCAGAGGACTCTGCTGCTGTCCCTCGCTGTGTCCTGTGTCCTTTAGGAAAGCCTCTAATCCCATGGAGGGTAACCAGCTCTAGCTCTGGCTGCAGGATCAGGAAGCGTGCTCTAGTTGTAAACTTCGCTCTGAGCTTTGGGCGGCTTGACCGAGCAAAGCAAACCTAGGAGTGCAGGCTGCAGACGCGGATCTGTGTGTCTCTCTCCTCCCCCCGCCCCCCGCCCCCCTTCTCCTCCCCACCTCCTCCCTCTCCCGCCAGCAGCTTGGTCCGAGCCAGAAATTCTCACTAGAGAGCCTAGGCACGCTCCTTATCAGCCAAGGTGCGCGATATAGCTCAGGCACGAAGAAATCCCATGCTCGACAACCCTGACAATTCTTTCTTTAAAGTTCTCTTTGGCAGCTCCGGAATTTGCTACCCTATTTGTATCTGACTGGAGAGAGAGGATGGGGAGGGGAGGGGAGGGGAGGGGAGAAGGGAGAGGGGAGAGGGGAGAGGGGAGAGGGGAGAGGGGAGAGGGGAGAGGGGAGAGGGGAGAGGAGAGAGGGGAGAGGAGAGAGGAGAGAGGAGAGAGGAGAGAGGAGAGAGGAGAGAGGAGAGAGAAGAGAGAAGAGAAGATCGTGGGATATAAGAAGAAAAAAGCTATAACATTTGCCAAATATTGGCATCCATTTAATTTCCTTGGAACCGTGGGTTTGCTTATTTAATCATCATAGAAGAAAAAAAAGATATTACTATAATGCGTTTCAGTTAAATGGTCAGATCTAGAAGGAACACCACAGTGGGAGTTCTGCTTCTGCTGATTTGTTAACATGGAGTTTCATCTATCCAAGTTACAGTAAATACAGATTCACACTGAGTACAAGGAAGGAAGGAAAGAAAGAAGGAAGGAAGGAAGGAAGGAAGGAAGGAAGGAAGGAAGGAAGGAAGGTCTTTAAAATCTCACGAGAGAGAGAGAGAGAGAGAGAGAGAGAGAGAGAGAGAGAGAGAGAGAGAGAGAGAGAGAGAAGAAATAAAGAAATTCTGGTAATAACCCACATTTTTTGTGTGCGCCCAAGAATTTTTAAATAAACGCCAACCCACTGTAATAAATGTGTGTATCCTGTTATCATATATACAGATGTACAAACATGCTGAAAGCTTGTTGTATAATGATGTCTTAACTTTTCTTCACCTTCCAACTGAATTATTTTTAGGCCCTCAGTCCAAGCTTTATTCTTAGTAATGTTTGGAATTTTAAAAAGTTTGTGGTGGCGGTTTCTCAGCTAACATGGACACAATTCCTAAAGCCAGTGTGACCACACTCAGGTCATGTAGAAAAGTAATGAGAAACAGTAAATTATATTAATGACATTAATAAGAACAAAAGTGAGTAGCTAAATGCATTGCATAATTATTTCTGATGCTTCTTTCTTCAAACAAGACATTTTATGATGCACTTATTATCTGGTTCAGAATGCCTCTGCTAACCTGAGTGCTTGTTTACCAAGTTCATTTGAAAACACAAAGTGGGGTTCGAGAAAGGACACAATCAGCCTGTGGATTTGCTCACCCACAGGGAGAAGTAAAGAAGGACACAAAACAAAGCTCAAGGCACTTTTGAGGGGTCTTTAACTTCTTCAAGGAGCTAATAAAACATAGGTCCTTTCCAGAAAAAAAAAATGCACATGTACACAAACCAATTTAAATTAGGCATACAGTTTCAGGAGGTTGATCAAGCTAAGAATGCTGACACAGAATAAAGACCACTGTTTCTATAGCATTAATTGGAGTGATGGAGTACTAAAGGGCAGTTAACATCCCTCTTTAGGGCATAATATTTTCCAGAGCATCAGCATAAAGGAAAGAAATGCTTTCGCTGCTTCATTTTTGTAATCCTGCACAAAAAATTGAAAAGAATGTGAGTTGATATAGGATAGATAAAAGAGAACACAGAGAAGATGGTTAACATATAGAAGCTGGTTATACTAACAGCTATAACAAGCTATAATAAAACAAGATGAAATGACTTTGAGATAAATTTATCATTGATGGAACAATGAGTGGCATTCATAAGTTGATTATAAAAGGGATTATTGGACCATTTGGGGTCATCCCTAGGCAATGAGAATGACTACCCGCATCCAGGTAGGGATCCTGCACTATCAGATTAGAGCCATTGGAATGAAGCAGTTCTTATGTTTGGACCTGCATGACTTAAAAGTTCCTTCATTCCTATTTGTTAAAGGAATGAAGGACCTTTCAAGTCATGCAGGTTCATACTGCATGCAGGTCCATTATTGAGCCTATATTACTTGTCTAGCTCTGGGCTAAGTACTGAGCACACAGTAATCATAAACGCAAACATCATTCTTACCTTCAACATGCTTATGTCATGGTGGGGTGGTCAGTCATAAATAAATTCTCATAGGAATAAACATATGGTAATAAACTATGGCAAGAGTTCTGAAAGAAAAGCAAGACTAGCGGGATCTAATGTTCCAAATGGAGG